GGGCGCATTCAACCTAATAATAATATCCCTGTACTAGTAGGAGTAGGAAGAAATCTGTTTTATTTCTCCTTCAGTGAATAAAAGAACAAGATATCAAGACATTTTTGTGATTTTAGGACTTAAGTCCCATTTAGGAACAAACCAGTTTCATTAAAAAACACAAACCAAAGTACAAAAGCTGTCAGAATGCACAGAAAATTGAGGTAGCCAACCTGGTACTGGTACTAATAGTAATACTGAGGGTACATTTGCCATAACATTTTCAAAAAAAAAAGAAAAAGAAGTTTCATTCACCATCTAGATTCTAGAATATATACGTTTCACATGATCATTGGTCGTGGCAAGCTGGAAAATAATAAATGGAGGGTATGGAATCCGGAGCCGTGGGGGGGGCAAAAACGAAAAAAAAAACCCTGAAAATGAATAACCGGGGGGGCAGGAAGGGAAGGGTTATTCGATACCCTACAGTAGTCTAGTAGAGTTCATCAAATTTGAACAAACATCAATAATAATATGAAATGACAATTTTCCCAAATGCTCCGAAATATAAGCCCAATCTATATCTTCCTGAACACATTCGTAACGCATGATTGTATATCTGTAACATTTGATCGTATATATATATACATTATATATTATTGACCCTCATGACAACAGGCTCTACTCTATAGCAAAGCACTCGATTAGTCAGCAAGTGGTTCTGGGTTCGGACCCATGATCTATCTTGATTTTATTTTTTTAACTTAAAATTTGTTGTTTACCATCCATTCCACTCAGTCTATCTTTGATATTTCTTTTAACTACTTAATATTTGGAATTTTCGATCCAGGCTGGGGTGAGGTCTAGGGTTTTGGGCTAGAGTTAAGGAAGGTTTAGTGGCTTGGGGTTAGCATTCAGGTGTGGACTAGGGATCGGGCGAAGTATGATTCCTTTATCCACACCCTTACTCTAACTCTAAGCCTGAAATTCTCACCCCAACCCTACCCCAAACCATAAACTCACCCCAGGCCTAACCCTTAGCCCAAACGCTAAATCCATTCCACTGTTAGGGAAGATCTCTAGAAATCTAGATCTAGATAGTTAGGACTAGGGTAAGCGAACACCAATAAGCGAACACCACCCTGCGCACTAAAAGAAGGGACGTTGGGAATCGGGTGTAGTAAAAAAAATAGTTTTCATTGAAATTATAATTTGAAGAAGAGGACTAAGCTTTCTTGTAAAAAAAAAGTAAGCTAGATCTAGATTATAGATGATCTAGAATCTAGATAGGACAGGTTAATTGCAGTTTTCTAGGTGGGGATCACTTACAATAGTCCTCCCTCTGGATCTAGATACTAGATCTCGATCTAAATCTAAACCTTTCCATTTTTATATAGTGTAAAGCGCATAGAGCCTGCTGTTGAGCGGGGATATGCGCTATACAAATGCTATCTATTATTATTATTACTTGTCACTTACCGCAATTTTCTGGTAAAAATGGTTGTAACTTGACTGCTTGACAGATCTCTTTGTCCCAGCCTCCAAGGTAGAAGTAGATGTAGAATCTAGAGGAATATGTACTGGATCTCGATTCTCACTCTTATATGGGACATCACTTTGCCAAGCCCATGTTCCGGCAACTAGATTTATAAATAGATTGAAGTTTGACGCGTGTCAAAGGTTGGGATGTGGCTGACGATTCGGGATGTGTCCGCGGGTTGACGAAATGGAAATGCGCGTCTCCTATATGCAACAACGAAGCGCTGAACCCCTACACCACACACGCCAGCAGGAACAGACAAAATACGACGGGCTCTGAATGAAAAAGCAGAGGTCGTTGAACTCATGGTTGTCCAATCCCTATTTAATTAAAGTTTCAGTAAGTTTTACAGCACTTGCAACACAAATAAGTCACATAAGTGCCGTAGATTAGAGGTGTTACTATAGATTTTTTCGATTTTATAGATTTTACTGATTTGAAAGGCCTTTGGTCCATACATCCACATATACGACTTGGCAAATACATAATTTTGAGCAGCACATCAGGTAATTTACCTAAATTGGGCACGCATACATACATGCATACACATACATACTACATACTTATGTGAGGCAGTGTGGTGAAATCGGGCGCTCGTCAAAATAATAAAAGTGAGAAAACTGGCATTTTCCACAGGTTGGTGAATTTTTATCAAAGTTTTTTTTTTTGGCTCAACACTTATCATGCCCATTAACACTTTGCCATCACATGTCGCCGATCGGCGATGTTTACCACACCGTGTCTTTGGATTTTCTCATTTGCCTTTGCTGGCAAGGGTTTTCACTGTATGATGAGCCTTGTGATAGTAAAGTATTAAAGAACATACTTCTGTGTGGATTTTATGGATAAAGGTTGATTACAGCCGAAAAAAATGTAAATTTTCAGTTTTCCCGGACTCTCAAGCTAAAGAAATAACTCATCTTTGACAGCCATTTTCTCATTAATTTTACATCTGAAACCAGGCGATCCCCCATCTCCTTCATTCGCAAATATCTTGACTTCTTTTCAAGATAAACTGATAATTTTTTAAACCCAAAGCAAGACAAATGAACACACTTTATGATGATACCAATCACTCTACATGCCCAAAAATAGACGAGAGCCTGATGCCACCGAGTCGTGACACATATGTTACTAGATAGCAACATACAAAGAAAGCTCAAGTACCCACCTTTGTTTGTATCTGGGTCGGGAGAAGGTTCGTCTTTGATATCTGTCAAACGAGGCATCACTGACATTTGTGGGAGGGGAGGGGAGCTGGCCGACTCTGTGAAGTCGTAGCTGGGAAACTTGGAGTCTTTGCCTCCTATACTGCCGTGCAAGATCTTGCTGTCCGTGTCTGTCTGGCTGTTGTGTTCATCGGCGTCTCTTTGTTCAGTTTCCTCCTCCTTCACAGGACAAGCTGTGTGATAGTAGAAAGATTTGTGTGAGAAACAAGAAGCACATCGACATGATAACATTCATTTAGCCATTTTAGTAAGTAAGAGTTTTATAATACTTGCAACACAAACAGGTTATAAGTATTGGAGATTAGAGGTTGAACTAGAGAGTTACATACAAAGAAAAGGAGAGATAAGAACGATTACGATACATGTTTTGATAAGAAAGAAGGAGCAAACCGCACCAGAGCACCCGCCAACCAATAACGAAACCAGAGGGGGCATACTGACAGATGCCCAAATAAAAATGCACATTCACAGACACACTAACAGGCATACCGGATACACAGAAACACACATGTGCACACACACAAATCAATACATAGACTCACATACACACAGATAACATGCACACATGTGTGCTATGTATCTATCTATAAACGTATGCATAAATGCAAACACATCACTACATACATAACAATAAACACACGCCCGCACACACACACACACACACACACACACACACACACACACACACACACACACACATTCTCAAAAGTTAAAATGTCAACACACACACAAAACATAGACACACACACACACACACACAAAACACTGACACAGAGGCACATAAAGACCCACCAGTCTCCGATGCAGTGTCTTCCCCTTTGGCCAGCTGTGAGGACAGGCTGAACATCCACTCCATCACGCTTGACCTGTGGGCAAACACACACAGGAAATACAAGATCTATCTAGATCAAAGGTCAGGCAAACCGAAGAAGATACACAGAAGAGTAAATAACTAGACCAAGAGTAAAAAGAAAATGTTTCTTTTATGTAGGTGTTGATACGCTCCCATCAACACAGTTTTGATGATTTATGAGACATCCCCATTCACCTGTCTATTAACTCAAAGCCCAGAAGGTAGACACCCCCACTCACTAATATCAAAGCCCGAAAGGAAAAACACCTCACTGACCTGTCCACTAGTTCTAAGCCTTGCAGGTAAAACTCCCCCACTCACCTGTCCACTAGTTCAAAGCCTTGCAGGTAAAACTCCCCCACTCACCTGTCCACTAGTTAAAAGCCTTGCAGGTAAAACACCCCACTCACCTGTCCACTATTTCAAAGCCAGGCAGGTAAAACTCCCCCACTCACCTGTCCACTATTTCAAAGCCTTGCAGGTAAAACACCCCACTCACCTGTCCACTATTTCAAAGCCAGGCAGGTAAAACTCCCCCACTCACCTGTCCACTATTTCAAAGCCTTGCAGGTAAAACACCCCACTCACCTGTCCACTATTTCAAAGCCTGGCAGATAAAACTCCCCCACTCACCTGTCCACTATTTCAAAGCCTGGCAGGTAAGCTGCCATCATCTCCATGACATCCTCCAGGTCGAAGCAGTCCTCCACCTCCCCCTGACCAATCAGCTCCATGATCCCAAGCAAGTATGACAGAACAATTTCATCGATGTTGCTGAAACATACAAAAGCAGATTTTTAAAAAATTTTAAGAACGTTTGCTTATTTGTACGTTCAAGTTTGTTTAGGAACAGCTAAAAGAACTAAGACAGCATCAGATTTAAAACAGCATTTACGCCAATCATTTCAAACTTTTGGTGCGAAAAAGGGATTTTTGTAAAATAATAAAAACAATGGTTATATAGCGCCATATCTCTATAATTTATAATGTAGCACATAAAATAAACACCTTATTGAACCTCCCAGTGAGTGTCGTTCCAAGAAAGTTGACAGCTCCTTGTGCACCCTCGCCTCCATCCTGATGGGGCTTCTGCAACTCACAGTCAGACTCGGTCTGTCCACCGCAGTTCAGTTACTTAGAATTAGAAAGTAATTTCTCCTCTCTGGAAAAAAAAAAGAAAAATGCGTGTGTGAAAAAATAAACATGATAATAACATTAACACTTACAGTACCGCAGGGTCATAATATAGATCTAGATAATTAGATATCTAGTGAAAAACTCTTGAGTACCGCATCCATATCATGACATTTAGAAGCCAACATAATAATTAGGGTACGTTACAAAAAAATTCATGAAACAAAAGTCATTGAGTGAATTACATGAAATTTTCAAGATATATTCAGAAATAAATGTATACTTTATAGAAAAACTTCTTTTGCGACAGATCTAGATCTAGAATCTATCTAGAATCTAGACATCATGATAAAACTCCCATCCATTTTCTGTTTGGAGAGGGTGGACACGCCCACCTGAATTTTCAGATCTAGATTCTAGATCTATATAAGTATATATATATATATATAGCGATCTGGGAACGCTGAAGCCACGGTAGAACAATGTTTAAAAAAAAAAAAAAAATTTTTTTTTTACTTGCACGCGTCTCATGTTCACGTTTTATACTTCTTTCCTATAGTATTTTGCATGCTGAACACGAATGGCCTTCATTTTTGCCGCAAATCAATAGTTATTGAGTTATTGATGTTTGAAAATAGTTTAAATTTAACTATACATGGGGGGTAAAAAGAACTATTGGGGGGTTTCAGGCTGCATTTCACAACGATTTGATGTTTTGGCAATTAGGATTGATATAGAATCTAGAATCTACTTGAAAACAATTGATTTGCAAGGGTTTTAGTTTTAGGTGGCCATACGTCACGTATATACGTGTGTTCTACAGCAAAAATTATGGCAGTAGCCTTCAAATCAATGCATCTAGAATCTAGATCTATATCTAAGATCTAGATTCTCTAGATATCTAGATCTAGATCTATGATTCAGTATGATGACAAATTATTTTATGAATCACTTCACTAGACTTGAAAACAAGTAAAATAAAGACGAAGTATCACAAAACCAACAAGCCCTCGAGGCATGCATGGTATTAGGTCATTCAAAGGGTGATTTCGCACAACAAATATTCAACATAAGACCAACATCAAATAATGTTTTTTTTCTCTGCTTTCTGATTTGCCATAGGCCTACCAAAAAATCGTAAAAGTCGCTTGGTAGATTTTGTGGCTTTATTGGCTAGCCTACATCCCTCACTCAAAAAGTCCACTCAATTTCTCTCCCTTCCTTTTTATGCAAGTTCTCCAATTTGTAAAACCAGATTTGGTTTCCAGTTTCCAGAATCAAAATTCCCTACGTGAAGTCATGTTCACGAAACGAAATTGAATAGATCTACTAGAGACTAGAGACTAGAGATCTCGATGGGCCTAAAAAAACAGAACCCTACCTTCCAGATCTAGGGTCAGCGATGCGAACTGTATTTCAAAGTGAAGTGATAATTTTATCCCCTCTGGGTGTTGGCAACGTGCAGGTTTGAAGTTGCCATGACGGGCATCTGTCCTTGTCAACAGAGGTCCAGATTCTCTAGATCTTGATTTGATCCACCCCTACCCCGACCCCAAGACAAACAAAGTGACTTCTCGTACACACGGTCTGCTACAGCTGCTGCGCTACTGACCCGAGGATAACATGATGATGACAATTGGCCACTGATCCAACTCGTGTGACTTGAGTTTCGTTCTACCCAGACTCTCTGTTCGAGAAGGATGACGGCTCTTTTGTTCTGTTGTCATCTTTGTGTAGAGTAGGCCTAGATTCTAGATCCATAGAGAGAGTGGACTTGAGTTTGACTCTGAATACTTACTGTTGTTAAGTTGTAGATCTAGATCTAGAGATGGCCTGCTAGATTAGATCTAACTTGTTTGGCATTCATTTGTTAAAGTCTGCCATAAAATTATAACACACACTGCCCAACAATATGGCATTTGTTCCTGTAACAGTTTCACGGCCTCAAGTTTTACCACCTCTGTTTACGTCTCGTAGATTGTATGTCCACATATTCCTCCTGTTGATAATTGTGCTAATTTTAGTGGTTGTAAGATTTATGTCTCACGTTCGTTTGACTTTCGTACATTACCACATGGAGAGTGATACAGATGCTGAACTCGTGACCTTACCCAAGTCTTTTGCTCGGGAGAAGGGAGCGTTTTGTCTGGATGGTTCCCCGCCTGCGTACTACTACAGACCAAGTAAGCGTTCTCGACTCATCTGTCGACAGACTGTTCGCAGCCATGGAATGACAGACATTTTATTTACTGACACAGATGCCCTGCACATTGTGTCCAAGGCTCAAGACAATCTGACTATATTTTTTTAGCTTGACACTTGACAAATTGAGTGTAGATTTCTAGGCCTATTTAAAAATTGTTTACTGAATCCCATTTTCTGAAAACTATGGCACATCATCAAGATTTAGCAATGTCTTTCTAGATGATTTTAATTGGACCTGTCTTAGGGAGTCCCTTATTCTAAATGTCTAAACCATTTTAGTATAATGGCATCCTAGGTCTTTCAGGACTCGCGCATATGAGCTCCCAGTTAACTGGAATAGATTTGCACCGCACTGTTCGCCAAAGCATTCGTTCAGTGTCTAAAAGGGCGAAGGGAGAGTTCCCTTTGGTTCAAATGGTTAAAGTTGATTGGTCAAAGTTTTTGTGAGCGGAGTGACCTTCAGCGCATGTCTGCTAAATTGATCATTAAAAAAAAATTCATTTCTCTATCTATCATGTGCTTGCATGGGTACACTCACACTAAACTATGCTGCTGTAGAGGAGTTCTGTTGGCAGGAAAGAGGTCAACCAAAGGAAAATGTTTGGTCAGGTTATTTTTGTAATTATTCACACTTTTTTCTCTGCTTTCATGTCAAATGATAAATGATTTGTGTGTTAAACTTGTTGAAGTAAAATGACATTAAGTTGATTGTAAGTTTAATTCCATGTCAATTTTCAGTCGATGTTTCTATTCATGGATTGATTGCAAGAACTAAATAATTTTTTCAGCAAGCCTCACAATAAAATACTCTTGTTCTGTCATTTTGTTCAGGTCCTATCATTTCCTCCAACCTGTGGATCATTTACCTGCCAGGAGGCGGCTGGTGTGTGTCTGAGGAAGACTGTTTTCAAAGGTATGTATAACTATATAACTAATACCTACTGTTTGAGTTTGCCAATTCATAACAAAACTTTTTTGTTTTCTCTTTTTTTTTTTTTCGGAGGGGGGGAGGTTGGAGAATGATAATTTCCTTCCTTAAATTTGATGTGTCTCTCAGATGTATTCTTATATGCTCATAGTATAGTTGATCCTATTCAAAAACTATTTTTCTGTAAAGTGTAAAAATCTAAAGTTTCAGCTATCCTTCCTGTCTTTTGTTTCTCTTCTCTGTGCTTCTTTCACTCAAATTCCATTCTTTTTTTTCTGTTTTTAAGAAGGCAATTTTAATTTTATATTAATGGATTTAAAGAAAAGTTGCTTTGCATGAGAATGAATGTGGCATCTTATTTTCAGTCTTTTCTTCATTCCCAAAGCAAAGTTGGTTCCAGTGTTTTTTTTCCTTTCCCCAGGAGTTTAACCTCTCTAGGTTCAAGTCATGTGGCTCCGACTTCGCTGTCGATGGACGGGTTTTTATCCAAAAACTGCAACAACAACCCAGACTTTTGTTGGTGGAATGTCCTGATCTTCCATTACTGCGACGGAGGCTCTTTTCTAGGTACTCGACATAGGCTCATATTTTTGCCGTGTCACCTCAGTGTATGGTCACTAATATAGTATAATTAGGAAAAGATGAATGTAGTTCTTAGGACAATTGAATTGACAGAAAGGCTTTCTCTACTTTTGCCGGCTGTAGTTTTTCTGCATTGAGTTTTGTGGGAGTTTGTAATTCAGCCAACAAAACAGACAGGAAGGAATGCTTTTGTATTGCTTTATGTAACAGGAAAGTAGGTGAAATTTGGATTTGCTTTATATTTTAATTTTTGGGGGACTTTTTTGTTGTTGCTAGTTTGCTGCTCTAATACAAAGGAGTTTGCTCTTTTGTTTTCTTTCAATGGCTTTTTCAGTCAGGCAATGTCGACTTACTACCACTCCCCAGGCAATCAGTCGCACAATGTTGACTTCAAGTCTCGCAGCCTGTACATGAGAGGTGGTCGGATCTTTGAGGCACTGATTGAGTACCTTATGAGCACGACGGGGCTCAAAGATGCTGAGCAGATAATCTTGTCTGGCACTTCAGGTATGCTGAATTCGTCATTGGGGTTTTGTAGTCAATATATATGGCCGCTCTGATGAATTAAAAAAAAGAACTTTAAGGATTCGATTCCTTTATGTGTGTGTTTGGAGGGTGCCTCTTGTATGTAGGTCCTACTACTTCTTTTTCCCTCCGTGGTTTTTATTTATCTGTCTTTTTTCTTCCCTGCACTTTATACCTCTCATTTTGTCGATGTGGTTCCCTTTACTCAAACTCAGTCACTTTTAAGTTATTGATAAAGTTTTTAAAACGTAATGGATTTGGTTTCTTTATATGGATGTGTGGGAGCACTATACAGCCAGTGTTGAACAAATTTCTGTGGTAACAAACGTGTTGAGAAAATTTACCCTGTTTTGTAAAAGTATAATATTAACAGTTTGGTACTTGGTCATGGTGATTCCCTTTGTATTTTTTTTATCTATGTCCAGTACTGGCAGTACTGGGTTGTGATAATATTACCCCTTTTATGTTTACAACATTTTCTTTGTATTTTCCGTGCTTTATTGTTGTAGTAGCATATTAATTATATTTTATTTGTCTTGGTTTTTAGTTTGAGTACTTACAGTTTCATGACACGTGCTACACAAATTGGTCATGTAAGTGCTGAAGATTAAAGGTGTTATTATAGGGTAATAATCATAATAATCAAAAAAAAAAAAGATGAAGAGTTAAGGGTGGTAGATGTTAGATAAGAAAAAAAAAGAGTAAACTGCACAAGAGCACCACCCGCCAACCACTCATTTATTTCTCTCCCTCTACCCCCATGTGTGTTTAGCTGGCGGCATTGGTGCGCTGATCCACACTGACCTCCTGCGGAGTCGCCTGCCCCCCTCGGTGAAGACGCTGCATGTTCTGGTGGACGGGGCCATGTTTGTGGACGTGCCGGACGTGGATGGGCAGCGCTCCATGGCCAAGATGCTCAGCTCCTTCTATCACCTGCACTCGGTCAAAGGTCAGAGTTCGTCTCATTGGGGGAAAAAATTGTCTTGATAGATATATATTTAGAGTATTTAAGGCCAGTCCATCTGACTTTTGTACATTCGAACACACACTTAGTAAAACACGCTCTGAGTGGACAGATTTTCAGGTCCAAATTTTTTTTCTTTTAAACATTGTTCTTTGAATTTAAAACATATATAGCAAAATTCACCCATATCAAAAATATTTGTGTGTCCTGCCCAATTTCGCTTTGTGCATGCTAGACTATATATTTGTGGTAAACTGCCTCAGTTAGACAAGTTCATGGTGTTGTTTTCCCAGGGCTAGTGGTAGGGGGAGATGGGACAGGGGAGTGTTTCAAGTTTTTGTCATTTGGAAATATGTCAGCAGCAGTCATTGATTTGTCTCCCCTCCCTGTTCCTGTTCTTTTTGTTTTTCTGCTCCTTGTGTCTGTCTCTCCCCTCTCTCTCCCTATTCTCTCTGTTTCTTCTTTCTGTCTCTCCCCCCCCCCTACTGTCCCTATTCTCTCAATTGCTTTGACTCTTCTTTCTCTCTCTCTTCTCCATCCCTGTTCTTTCTTTTTTCTGTCTCTCCTCACTGCCCCTGTTCTCTCTTGTCTCTCCTCACTGCCCCTGTTCTTTCTCATCTCTCTGTCTCTTCTCTCGATCTCTCCGCCTCATCCCCTAACATATCGTCATGTATTCCATCACTCTCAGATGCCACCAGCATCCAAGAATGTACGAGGACTATGAAGAAGGAAGACACATGGCGCTGTTTGTTGCCGCAAGTCTACCAGTCGTTCGTCTTCACGCCCGCGTTCTTCATCCAGTCCATCTATGACACCTGGCAGCGGACGAACGTCCTCAAGGTACAAATAAAATAATGATGATATTAAAAATGATGATAAAGATTACCTGTTGGGGCCTTTTGTGATCTTGAGGTATGGTGTTTGCCTTTCAGTCAAAATATTCCGGGATCGAATCGTGCCAAGGACGATAAAGTTTTCTCCTCCAAATTGTCTTCCTTTCCTGTTGTCAGTCGTGTTCTGTCATCTGCCCCTCTGCCTGAGGTCCTGAGGTCCTGAGCAAGTTGCGCCTATATATCTCACATTCATATCAACTTCAGAATCAAATTCCATATCCCTACCCAGGCAGTCCTCGTCATTTCCAGCATCTAATTCAGAAAGATCTTCAAAATAATCAACAATGTCCTGTAAAGTAAACACTGTTTTCTGTGTGCTATTTGTCCCAGACAGGCCAGGTTGGGGATAGGGTCTCGCTTACCGGTGTACCGGTTGCTAGGTGTATGGGCTATTTTACACATCACTGGTGTACCAGTGACTAGGGTTCAAAATGCTAAAGTTTCATGCGTACTGGTGCTCTCAACGTAAAACAATCCTTTCAAACACAGGTACCCTGCTTCGCCGTCACCTGCCCCGAAGCACACTTGGACGAGGTCTACAAAGCGCGGGACGCGGTACAATCCATGGCCCAGCAGATCATGACGTCGAGGAAGAACGGCGTGTTCCTCACGGTTTGCCCCGCCCACACCATCCTGATCCGGCCGTACTTCTACAAGAAGGAGGTGGGCAACCCCACCATACAAAAGTCTCTGTCCTCGTGGCTGCAGCACAGCGAAGTACAGACGCACGTGGACGTGAATCTCCCACTGGAGGCCGCCGTTGAGATGTGTCAGACCGCGTGATTTTGTACAATATACAACAACAGGGGGTAAAACTAGTAAAAGTAAAGTATAGCCATCCCCCCACCCCACACCCCCGTCACACATAGTTGCCAACCAGTACGTTAAAAACATATTTCTTACATCGTTGAGGGTCTGAGAACACGGATGTCTGATTTTATGATGGAAAGTACGTGTTCTCTGTTTTCTATCAAATGTTTTTAAAAATTTAAGAACTTTCCAGGCTGGATTTGTGAATAATTATACATGAGAACTAAGCCCATAAGTCTATTTCAGCCGTGTCCGTTACCATAGTTACCTATGGAGCATGAATTTGAATGCAGAATATTGTGTGTGAAGGGTTGTAGGAGGGGAGTGGCATTACTTGGCCAGTGCTCACCGTATTGACCGGCCTTGTGGGAAGTATCTGTGTGTGTTTTTGTTTTTGAAAAGTTGGCAGCTATGCAGAATGGATGGTAAAAGTGAAATGCAACACCCCCTCCCCCACCCCCCATCCCATGTCTTTGCACATTGTAATGATCTCTCTTCACTGTTTCTTGTTCTTGGAAGACAATGTAGCTACAATCCTGCTCTTGTAAGACAAAGCTGCAAACCCTCTGTGACTCCCACGGTGACACTGGTTATTGTGTGCATGGTCAAGCAGTTCAGAATGGGGAGGCTATACTTTACTTTTGCCCCCACCCCCCCCACCCCCCACCCCCCAAATGATGAAGTCTGTTCAGAAAAAGGTAGATACTGGGCATGTCCAATCATGACGTTGTCCTTCTGTGTCGCGAAATCCGCGATCTCCATACCCGATCTCCATCCCCGATGCGTCATTTGCTCAGTTGGTAAGATGCTGGACTTACAGCATGGTTGACCCAGGTTCAATTTCCCAGAAAGATGTTCTTGAACTTTGGTGACTTGGAGATGTTCCAAGCCTCTTCACCCTCCTGGCTCTCTGTCTCATCGGACTTGGATGTTGAATTTTAAAGTCCCACAACATGAACAACGTTTGTATGGTATTGTGGTGAAATCAGGCGCTCGTCAAAATAAAGAAATCAAACAAAACCAACAGTTTTTTCGGTGGTTGGGCATTTTTTATGGGGGTTTTTTGTGGCTCAACACCTGTTACATCCATGTAAAAACAAATCAGTCCCTTTCAGCTTCTTCAATAACAAATATCTCAACATCTATTCAAGTAAGATGGGGGGGGGGGAGTTTTCATTCAAAAGCAAGACAAATGAACAAGCTTTAAGGTGATTGCAATAACTTTTTATATATATATGCACAAAAATTGACGAGTGCCTGATTCCACCATGTCATGACATGTTTTGATGTAGATTACAGCATTAAGACCATACCTCACCCCACTCATGGTCACTATTTGATCTATGATATTGTTCAACTTTTTACTGTCGATGACACTTTGTTACTTTTGTTTGCTACTCATTTATTGTTCTTAGCAATACTCATTGTTGGCAGAAACAACATCTGACTGAGTGAAATGTTTCTCAAAGTTTCATATTGTCATTGCTGGATTCGTACTATATTAGCTAACTTTGTTTCTGTTAATTGTACAGGAGTGTGAAAAAAACTAAAAGGTTATACACATTTAAGCTGTTTAGAATCCAACGTTGTAGCGACTCTTTGGATAGGCTAAAAGCAATCTGGCTGAAAGTTATTTATATATAGTATCTGTTTTGTGATTCACGGAAGAAAAGAAAACCGCATTTTCGAAGTTAGTTGTTTAGCTTCCTGTAGCGAAGATTTATGTGTTGAAATACTATACTGTTACATGTATATATATATATATATATGTACTGAATGAGCACAATGGGTTTTTGTGGGGTGTTGAGATACTGTCTCTCTCTCTCTCTCTCTCTCTCTCTCTCTCTCTCTCTCTCTCTCTCTCTCTCTCTCTCTCTCTCTCTCTCTCTCTCTCTCTCTTCCCCCTCTCTCTCTCTCTCTCTCTCTCTCTCTCTCTCTCTCTCTTTCTCTCTCTCTCTCTCTCTCTCTCTGTCTCTCTCTCTCTCTCTCTCTCTGTGTGTGCATGCCCTCACACACTTACAATTAATACAAGTGAATGCTGTCATGCATGCTTACCAAAGCACTGAGTCATGAGGTTTGTAACTTTTTTGAAAGTTTGTCTATTTTTGTCAGTATTGAGGTGGGATCGAGGTTTGAAGTTAATGAGGAACTGTTTTATACTCATTGGTTCACAGTTGTCAATCTAATGAGAATGACAGGAAAATTACAAATGTAAATGAGGAAATTGTTGTGTGTCGCGATGCAGTGAAATCAGGCGTTCGTCAAATTTTGAGCACACAGAGTTATTGGTATCATCTTGAAGCGTGTTCAAATGTTTTGCTTTTGATGAAAAAAAAACTACTAATCTCTCACGGGTAGACGTGGAGATGTTTGCAAATGAAGGAGGTGGGGGTGGGTAGCCGGGTGTCAGTGGAAAAATTAGCGAGAAAGTGGCCGCCAAAGCTTGAAAGTCCTTGTTGGTAGCGATCCAGTAGCATCGGAGCGTTAACTCTTCTGCATGATGCCATTCTGTAATAGTTGCATGTTTGTTCTAATTGTTGTCTTGAGGAGGAGAGGCAGTTAGATGTGTGGGGTAGCTTGGGAAGAAAACACCCCCTTAAATCAGTTAGTTTTCTACAGAAGAACAGATGCTGTTCCACTGTCTCTGAGGGGTAATCACATAGTGGGCAGGCAGCAGACTGCTTTACTCCAATTCGGTTGAGATGTTGGTTGAGGGGTACATGTTGTGTTTTAAGTTGGAAGACTATGGATTGATCTCCCTTCCTCAACTCATTGATTGGATCTTTGACCAGTGGTTTATTCATTGCTTGAAGTCCTTAAAAATTGCAAAATTACATTCTTTGTGTCGTTGATCAAAGTTTTCAGTAAAACACCCAGAAATGTGTTCTTGAATGAACATAAAAGGTGTTGAGCCAATTTTTTTTAACCGATAAAAATAACTGAACTTGTGGAAAATTGTCGGTTTTCTTGATTTCCTTTTGAAGAACAGCTGATTTCACCACGATGCCTCACATAGAGATTTCTTACCGTCCGTGTCGACTCTTAATGGTCTTTGCATCAAATCAGGTCAAATACTTGGGGGCGGGGGGAACATAATTCTTTCTTGATATCTTCTAGAATTGCTCAACTTTTGGTGCAGTGTCCTTTTTATTTATGATAGTAACCCCAGTTGTATTTACGGTCGTAAAGGGTATTATTTCAGACAGAAAGAATTGTCCGACCTAGTCTGGTGAATTTTGAGAAAGCAGAATGCTTTGGCTTTGTTTGTTCACAAGGAATGCTTTGGCTTTGTTAACATAACTTCTACTTTTATGTTACTTTTGAAGTTTTAATGTGAGTTTGTTTGTTTGTTTGTGTGTGTGTGCTCAACAACTCTCCCTCCACCCGAACCACTCCGCACTCACTTTATCCACCCGAACCTCTCCGCACTCACTTTATCCACACGAACCTCTCCGCACTCACTTTATCCACCCGAACCTCTCCGCACTCACTTTATCCACCCGAACCTCTCCGCACTCACTTTATCCACACGAACCTCTCCGCACTCACTTTATCCACACGAACCTCTCTGCACTCACTTTATCCACACGAACCTCTCCGCACTCACTTTATCCACCCGAACCTCTCCGCACTCACTTTTTCCACCCGAACCTCTCCGCACTCACTTTATCCACCCGAACCTCTCCGCACTCACTTTATCCACCCGAACCTCTCCGCAACCACTTTATCCACCCGAACCTCTCCGCACTCACTTTATCCACACGAACCTCTCCGCACTCACTTTATCCACCCGAACCTCTCCGCACTCACTTTATCCACCCGAACCTCTCCGCACTCACTTTTTCCACCCGAACCTCTCCGCACTCACTTTTTCCACCCGAACCTCTCCGCACTCACTTTATCCACCCGAACCTCTCCGCACTCACTTTATCCACCCGAACCTCTCCGCACTCACTTTTTCCACCCGAACCTCTCCGCACTCACTTTATCCACCCGAACCTCTCCGCACTCACTTTATCCGCTGTATGTTTTTGGGAGGGACAAAAGCCTGGGTGTTTGACATGCAGTATGCGCGCAAGAGAGTGCAGTATGCGCACAAATGTATGTATTTCTGTCTGTGTGTGGGTGGGTGTGTGTGCTCGTGTGCATGTGTATGTGTGTGTGTATGTGTTTGCGTGTGTTTGTGTTAAGATTTAGATGCTGTTTACAAATTAAATATCTTAACGCAATTCAATTTATCCTGACTCTGTATACATATTATATTCGTGGGAAGAAAAGTTATTTTGCAAGCTCTCCTTAGTGAGGTTTCACTTCATACATTTATAGTATAGACATGATCATGTTTTGTAGAATTCTACATGACTGTGTTGAGGGTGCTTTCCCCTAATTGTTTTCCTTTTCGTATGTTTGAGATGAGAAATTTCTACAAGCCATTTTGACACAAATGTTATCATATTTCGTTTTTAACAATTTTTTGTGATAAAATTTTATTTGTTGGCACATCTTTGCCACAATGATGCAAGCAGAACTTGGATTCTGTGAATTGAAGGGATGGTCCCAATTTTTTTCTCTCTGTACATTATACTCCTTTTGTTTGATGCACGTTGAACTCATGAAACCCAAAGAAAATTGGAATGTGATGAAGTAAATGAACATATATCTACTCCGTTGGTCTGACCCTGAATGGAAAGTTGGAGCAAGCAAATGGCCCTGGTTCGACACCCTTTCTGGGTGTTCTTGAATTTATGTAATTTATGAAGATTTCAAGACTCTCAACCCATGTGGGTCTGTCAGAGAAGGAAGTAAAATTTGAAGGTCCCACCTCTTAAATGGTCACTTTTAAGGACGAGTGTGCTATCCTGAAAAATGTTGTTTTGAGAAAATCGAAAGTAAAGGTGTACAGTTTATTAAAAAACAAGGAGAGTTTCCTCTATTACCAAACAAATATTCACACCAATGAAACCAAACTTCTCCTATAGGTAGGGCGATGCCTGCTTTTGGTGTAGGTCAAGATTTCTGGAAACCCCCGAAATCTGGGTTAGCCAGCTTGTCCTTAAAAGGGACCAAATATCCTAATGGTGTTTCCTGCAATATTTAGGGTCAGGCTCGGTGAGATTGTAGGAGAAAAGAGTCTCAGGTGATGTGGTCTACCGTCTTTCGGAGCCGGGGTGGTTTGTGGCGAGGTAGAGTAAATGGGTTTTTCTTTTCTTATGCACCTATGGCGTTGCTTCATTTCAAATGTTCTCAAGCTGTGCCAGACTGATGACTTTACCATTTCTTCCCAAACAACAGAACGCCACCCCCCCCCCCAATTTTTTCTTGAGCAAAAACATATATCTCTTTTCCCTTATTATGAATGGAGCACTTTGTAACTCCTACTTTTTTACTTTACTTTCCCTCTGTTGTGTCTGTTTGTGTGTCGGTCTGTTTGGCTCTTTCTCAACTTGAATTGGCTGTTTTTATGATGATGTGCTTTTCCTTTCTTAAACTAATAATTCGCTTATATTAATTATATTTTAAATCCATCCCACTATTCAGTCTTTTTTATCCATGTTAATGTTGAACAAAATGTTTAATTAATGAATTCTTTTGCCCTCTCAGTGCTTTCTTATTAAACAATCAATATGTGTGTGCTGTCCGATGAGAGAACTCTTGTTGTTAAGCACAAGCCTATGAGGCTATACAAAAGTTATTGAGTCTTTGGGTCTGTGCTTGTTGTCGTTTGAGAAAAAACAAGAATTGATTATACCGTACAGTACTATACTATTTCCACGGGTTTTCGAGAAAACTTCATTGATTTACTATACTCTTTCTACGAGTTTTTCAGAAAACTTCTGGGTTGCTGTTGTTTGTTTTTTTTTGGGGGGGGGGGGGTATTTTGGCATTCATGGTCCCTATGTGTAAGCTGCGTTCCAAGGAAGCTTAGTTGTTCTTACCTTGGCGAGCTTTGCATATTTGCACGGTATGAAAGGGAACATACATGACGTGTATTTTTGTAACTTGTGAGCCAGGCCAGATCCCAGCATGTCCATCGTATCCTCAGTCAGCTCAGGGGGGAGAAGCTGTTTTCCAGGCTCAAAGTTCTTTCTTCCCCCCTCCAGGGCTGTGCCACTGACTGAAGTTGTCTGTAGGCCATTTCCAAAGGGGGGATATTAACATGTTCTTATGCACAGTAGAATTGTAAGGGCTGATTTATCAATGTCATGCTCATACT